CGTGGCTTTGCTGTTTTGAGTTCAGTAGACCTGCAACCTGGATGGATCATTGTTGACCTTTAATCTGTCCTTTTGGCAGACATTGCTACACGGAAAAGTCGTACTTTAAACATCCTTACAGAAAAAAAGATTCCCAAGAAGAGAATACCCATCTACAATGCTTAACCATTAAAAGGCAATGCTAATAATATTAGTGGAGTAAAAAATAATCGAAAAAATTAGGATTTTTAGGAAACTTTTAGCTCATAAGTGACGAGCTGATGAGATGGGGTTGAAATTGCAGTCCGCCCTGGATGAGAATACCTGATTAGAAGCAAGGCTATATGAAATTCAATGAAACATGAGGCCTTCTCAAATGATTTTGGAAAATTCCAATTAGTCTCCCTAAACAAAATAGAATGAATACGCCTCGTATGTACGGGATTGTTCGTGTAAAATCCATTAGCATCGACTGCGGTTGACATCTCCCATACACTATGTTATCATAAAATACATTCTTTCTTTATAGAAAACAGATATATTAGCCTTTTTTGCCATTTCATTAATTTTCTATAAGTGTTTTTCTTGGATACGTTAAAGTACATGGGAGGAAATGAAAAGCGGAATGTGTTTATCTTCTTTCTGATTCGAAATAATTTTTAAGAGAACCTCACTGTATAGAGTAGGTAGATGCGTTGGGTTAACTATTAAATACCAACTACTTAACCACTTCTTTAAAAATTTATGGACCAAGCTTTATTTGGCACTTGTTCATTCATTCTTGCTCAACCTTAACCTTTTTTCCATCTATAAATGGTTCCCCAAGCCAATAAGATTATCATCCTCTAGCAGGAAAAATGCATACTGATGATTTGCGTTTGCACCCGAGGTTGTAGCCAACCGACTAGTAAAACTAACCAATTGATAATACTTCGAGCCTCACTTACAATTTCTGCTGCCCGTTTCAACCGAACGACTGAGTGCAGAAATGCCAAATCTCCAGTGCCTTTGCGGCTGAGTTGTAGCCGGTTCATCCAGACTAACTGACTCGGTAATTTGCTGTGCCAGGCGCGAATGCGCTCCTCCAAGTTGTCAAGGTGTTCGGCACTTGTCTCCCAGTCGGTGACTAGAACAGAGGGGAGAGCGTTCACATTAGAGAAGAATGGCAATAATACTATAGAAAATCTGTATTTATCAGATGTTTGTGGTTATAGACCAGTAAACACATGCGTACAACTTTGCACACATGTGCATATCCATAGTATTTACACGTTTATGTTAAAATATGCCTTTATTCTGTGCAGAAAGCTGGCTGGAAGACAGGATTGATAGTTATAGAAGTGCAAGGGCAAAATTGAAATAGGGAATGAGGAAATGATGAAATGATAAAAAG